TTTCTTTAATAATTGCTCTAAAGCCCACATAACAATATACTTCAAAACTTTTCTATATTATAATCCAAGATCTTCCAATTCTCTGGTATAATTTTTATTACATAATTTTGGCTACTTTTTCATTAAAAACAATATTTTACAAACCACCATTTTTTTTGAATCACACTGTATATAGATTTTATGATATGGCCATATTTGTTCATCATTTTTGCATACTTATGACAATCAGGAGAAATATTCTAGGTCATAAAATTAATTGAGGAAATTAATTATTGTGTTTGAACATAAGGAACTGAATTTGAATCAAATGATTACCTTTATATATTGATTATTTAAATTATAAATGGCACCATAACATTCCTTTAACTTATTTGCTTCACTATTATTTAATGAATGCTTCACACTTAGTGAATAGAATTCATAACCTTCATAATTGTTATTAACATATACTCTATGGGAAGGCCAACCCCTATTTTCCTCTACAGATTCTTCAAAAATTGTACTATATTGAGGGAAAAATTTAATTAAATTGAATTGTTCCAATAAAGTAATATTATTAAATAAATTTTTGTATGGGTCCTTTTTGGATTTTGTTAATGGTAACAACATCCCACAAAGCCTTTCAATTGGATATTGCCAATAGCCACAACATGGTCCAAAATCATCTATACACTTGCTTATATGTAGTAAGTAATGAAATGTTAACAAATGTATTCTCAATCTTTCTTGGTTACCATCTTCATTATAATTACTAAAATTAAATAATATTTAATAATCAAAAATTTAAAAACTATAATAAAAAAAAGAATAATAAATTTTTATTTTTACTCAATATAACTTAAATAAGAATTTTCCAAATTCTCCTTAATCAAGTTTGGCTCATCTCCTTCAAGTTGTGGTTCTATACATAACTTTGCTGCCTTTACAAAATAATTCCATCCTTGCAAAAATCTTTATTTTTCATTAGTATATATATATAATTAAAAATTTATAAATATCATCATAATTACCTTTCATCAATTCTACCTTTAATTAATGGCAATGAAAAATGCAATATCCATTTAGACCACTCTTCAGCTTTATAACCAGCTGAATGTTTATATATATCTCTTGGTATTCTTCCATTACTGGGCATATTATACTTGTTATTATGTAGAATAGTACCAATTTCTTTCCAATCTTTTTTGCCAATTAAATAATTTTCATCTAAATCAACATTCTTATAAAAATTTCCAGACCAAAATTGTACATATTTGGAGCCATATTTTCAAAAAATAAATGCATAATGTCAAGTGGAAAAGATCTTGGAAACCTTATAGATTTCAATTCAAATAAAATGCTCTTTTCTTTAACCCCTATTAAAATGGTATTTATATAATGTGATAAAACAATTAAAAAAATTTAAGAATAGATACAAATAGATAAAAAATTTAAATAAAATGAAATTACCATATTTTTTTATTAATGACTCTTTGAGGTTATTTGATCCACAACCATTAATTTCATCAATATTTTTTAAAATTTCTTCATGGCCCCGAAGAGGAAGATTTGATGTAGAATGGTTTTGTAAAGGATAATATATATGTCGATTACTTGTCAGCAATTTTCCTTCTTGCAAAATCTACACCCCTGATAAGAATTATGTCCTGTGAAACACATAACTTTTGTTACAGCAGGTATATCTCCTGTCCAAGCCAAGATGTGAGCTTTTAATTGAAACAACTCATCATTCAAAGCATCATAGCATTCTATTCCATCTATGAAATAATTATAATAAATTAATTTTAACTCTTAAAATTCATATTAAATACAAAAAAAAAGAATTCAAATTAATGAAATTAAAAAATTTAACCTTGTAGAATTTTCATTTCTTCAATAAATGGTTGTAGAAATGAATTGAAATCTTTTGGTTGATTGGGACCTGGTATAATAAAACTTATTATTAATTTTCTTTTTTCACCCTTACTTCTGGTGCAAGATTGTTATTTATTACTAAAAAGACCCAATTATCATCTGTTTTTTGTTGGAAGATTTGATAACCATCACAAGAAACTGTCAATGCCAACTCCCTTCTATCTTCAAAAAATCCTTCTTCACATAGTTCTTTGTACATATTTCCATCAAAAACATCACCAAAGATTTCATCATCATTATCACTGTTTGTTGAGGTATATTCCCAACGATACAGCAAATCTTTTACTCTTTCCTTATTATTGAATTGAATTTTCAACCTCTCAATTAATGATAAGTAGGGCATGTGTTTTCTTCCTTTTTTATTTATATATCTAGGTTCATCACAAATAGGACATGCATGATCTGAATTGTATTTTCCATAAAAGAGACAACAACTATTAATACACATATCATAATATTTAGGCTTGATAGGCACCAATTTATCCAATTCTTTTTTAGCCTTGAACAGACTAATTTTTTTCTTGATGATTTTAGAAGAGATGTCATTGAAAGCTTGATTTGAAAAATTATGTATTGTCTTCAAGTAAAGTAAATTCAACCCAGTCAAAAGATTTTCTTTGGAAAGTTTATCTTCATCTAATATTATTTTACATAAAAAAACAAATGTTAATATAATGAATAAATTATTTATGGAGTCAAATTTGCTTTTTGTTAAAATTACATTCATCTTCACCATCATCTTCTTCTGAATCACAATCATCATTAGAATCACTAGAATCACTAGAATTGCCATTAGAACCAAGATCATTATCATCTAAATTATCTTTTGAAAGACATAAAATCAAATTATTATTAACAGATAAATATATTAGCAAATTCTTTCTCCTCCAAATACCATCATTATTAATTCCTGTTTCATTTGTTTCATTATTATCCTCAACTTTTAAAAAGTCAAAAAACCATCAAAATCAAGTTGGTTGTTAATATTACTAAAAAAAAAATAAATTAATAAAATAATTTTTTTCTCTATAATACCATCAATATCATCAGTTTCTATTCCAGACATTGAAGAACTTGCATCAGAATTTGAAGTAATTCCAGAATCAGAATCAGGATTATCTTCTAATTCCTGATTTATATTACTATTTCTCTTATGTTTATTCCAAGTTGTAATATGTAAATATTTTCCCTCACCATTTGATTTATTTAAACAATTGATACAGCAACATAGCCTTTTGTTATTAGACATTTTATATAAATTTAAAATTTTAAAATTTAAATTGATTATTTATTTGTCACACAATTTTTAGTGTAGAAATGATATTGTATTTAGAAAAAGTGAAAATGAAGAATTTTACAAAAAAATAAAAAATAAAGAAAAAACATTGAATAAAAAAGAAAAGGGGTCAGCACCCATCCAATCCAAAATCACTAAGAAAAATATAAATATATTAATGATAATAAAAAAATGTTGAATCAAAAAAGACATTCACACCAAAAACAAATATATAAAAAGCCCAAACCCAAAATGACAAGAAAAATATATTAAATAATAATAAAAAATCCTGAATCAAAATCAAGTTGGCACCCAGCCAAACCCAAAATGACCAAGATGAATATATTAAATAATAATAATAAAATTCTTGAATCAAAAACAAGCTGGCACCCAGCCAAACCAAAAATAATTAATTATATAAAAAACCAAACCCAAAACAACCAAGAAGAATATATAAAAAAATCTTGAATCAAAAACAGGCTGGCACCCAGCCAAACCTGAAATCACCAAGAAAAATTGATTCACAATAAAAAAGCTAGCACCTAACAAAACCCAAATGACCAAAAAATATATTATTAATAATAATAAAAATAATGTTCAAATAAATTATGAAAAAATAAAATATTTTTTTCTTTTTCTTGAAGATAAAAAATTTTTAAAATATAATAAATATTATTATTTGATATGTTAAAAGTTTTATTATTGTTGTTGTTGCTTTAGAATATGTGGAGGGTTGAAATTATCTTTGAATGGTGGAGCTACTTTTTCATTTGAACAATTCTGACTGTAGTGTCCATCTTGATAGCATTTTAAACAAGCATTATGATATTCATCCTTAATATTGGGACAATTGAAGATATTGTGACCATAGTATCGACATCTATAACACAATGTTTCACATTGACTACTTTTCCATGGTGTGTTGGTTTGAGAAATTTTGACATTGTTTGCAGATTCTAAACCTGCTGCAATAGCAGCATTGGTATTATCATTAGTATTAGTAGGTGTAGATCTAGCATTAGTATTAGTGATATTCAATAATATTGTTAGGGTATTTTCCTGCAAACTTAATAGTCTATTATTCATGTTGGATATGTCTCTAACTAATTCTCTATTTTGAGTTGTAGTATCCATTAACATGGTCATAAAATCATCCATTATTCTGTTAACGCTATTATTTTCATTACTATTATCTTCACCATTATTATTATTTAATTGCATTTTGTATATAATATGTGAGAGAGTTTGCTTGTTGATGATTGAATATTAAATGATCAATTACTATTATTATTATTAGTTATTATTGTTATTAGTTGTTATTATTAATTATTATTATTTACATTACCTTGTAATGATTTTAAATATTATGAATATATACCTCATGTCATCATTTTTTAAATGATTTCTAACTGGTTGATCATCTATTGATAATTAAATAATTAAAATTCCCAAATTTCATTGTTGCCATAACAAAAAGATAATAATAATATTATTCCTAGGCATGGTAGTTACGCAGGCATGACTCATTATTATTGGCAGTGGTGGTTACGCGGAGCGGGACTTTTTGGTTTCTATTATTGGTATGATTGTCTTCATTAATAATATATATAAAATTAATGTTATGTAACTTTCAAATATATTTCACAAATATTTAAAATCATATTATTATTCTCTTACTTTCATACACAATGTCATAATTATCATATTCATCATTGTTATCACAATTATTATTATTGTTGTAGTTAATAATCATTTTTTTGTGGTTCTCTTTTATTTATACAAAAAAAAATAAAAAATAATAATCTTCTTACTATAGTTCTGAATATTTTGTTTGACCAACAACTTCAGGAGCCAATCTCTATAAAACTATAGATTAAAAAAAATTACTATTAATAATATGAAATATTAGAAAAAAGACAAATAGAATTGAATTATGTTTGTGGGTAACATTAAAAAACATAGACAGGACTGTGTAACATTCAAGAGAAGTTAAAATATAGTTTATAGATTATATTAAAAAAAAATAATATATATTATATTGTCACCCTTTTAATTATTTTTGAAATAAAACTAATATAATTTTGCTTTCCTATTAATGTTGATTTTCTCATATTTACTAAGAACCAAATTTGCTACTATATTAATTAGGCAAGTTTGAATTAAAATAATACTCAAATAGTACTTGTACTTGTATTTATTACCTGATAACTTTTATATTGTCTTTTTGTGACATTGAATATTTTACATGTTTGCAACTATTAAGCTTCTAGAATTTTCTGGCTTATAAATAGGTGATTGGCTTTGTTTCTTATAATTATAATATAAAATAAAGATAAATTTTAGTAAAAAGTAAAAAAACATTACAAGTTATGATGTATAACTCACAATTATTGATAGTTTTCCTGTCCATTAATAATCTTGTGGTATATTGATGAAACTATTATTATTATTTATTACTATTATTATCAGTTATTATTATTCATTACTGTGAATTATTATTGTTATTGCTGATTTGATACAATGAATTCTATATAAAAATTGTTAAAGGAAAACTTATGTTGTATAATAATATATAAAAATCAAAACCAAAATAACCAATAATATATAAATAAAGTTGGCACCCAGCCAACACAATCAAAAAACTGACACCCAGCCAAAACCACCAAGAAAATAAATTAATAATAATATATAATAATAATATATATTATATATTTAATAATAGTAAATAAATATTCCTTTGATTGTTGTTGCTTTAGAATGATGAAAGTTGAAATTTGAATGGTGGAATTAACTTTTCTTTTTGAATATCTTGACTATAATTACTATCTTGATAAAATTTTAAATATGCCTTCCAGTCGGTACTCTTCTTTGATATTAGGACAATTACATCTAATAACTAATAAATAATAATAACTAATAATAATAACAATAATAATGTTCACGACAACGGGTTTTATTATTAACAGATGATCATAAAAAATTTTCAACCAGTTAAAAATCAGTTAAAAAAATCAGTGTATACATACATATATATAATATATATATATTATTTAATTACGAAAAATTTTATAATTGTATTTATGGATGCAGCTGTACAAAATCATAAATTTTAAATAAAAATTTGTTTAAATATAATTATCATTTTAAATTCAAATAAAATGTCTAATAACAAAAGGCTATGTTGTTGTATCAATTGTTTAAGTAAATCAAATGGAAGTTGAGGATAATGATGAAACAGGAATTAATATTTATGATGGTATTTGGAGGAGAAGGAATTTGCTAATATATTTATCTGTTTTCAAAAGATAATTTAGATGACAATAATCTTGGTTCTAATGGTAGTTCTAGTGATTCTGATGATGGTTATGATTATGATTCATATGAAATGAGGTATAAAATTGAATATGAAATTTCTGGTTATCACTAGTTGAAATTTACTGATTAACTTGTCTTATTTTAATTGACTTTATTGATAAAAATATAACAATATTTTAGTGATCAGTGTAATTGTAATATATCTAATTTCTTATAGTTATTTTTTGGACTTTGATCTAGTTTCCATACTAGTTTTAATAATATCTTGCTTCTTTTTTTTAACTGTTTGATTGTATAAATTTTATAATAAAATAAATAATTTGTAGAAATGGAATAAAAAAACTAAAAATTAAAAATTTCTTACTATTATTGACAACTGTGGTGGTATTATTATTCCTAGTGGTTATACAGGCACAATTCTTATTATTATTCCTGATGGTTACATGGGCATGACTTTTATTGTTATTACTGTTACTGTTATTAGTGGAATCTTCATTAGTATCATTATCATCATCATGATTGACAGCAGTTTCATTATTATTATTCTCTTTATCATCATGATCCTTACTATTACTAATAATAGTATTGTTATTGGTGGTAGCTGTATGAATATGTTGTTTTTTATTATTATCATTGGTGGAGGGATTTTTGGTAAAACCTTTGTTACCATCATCATTACCAGATACCATATAATGATTATTTTCTTTATCATAATCATTGTTATGATTTTTACTATTACTGACATTATTATTATTTCTGATGATTATATGGGCATGACTCTTATTATTCTTCTTCTTGGTGGTTACATGGACAGGACTCTTGGTGGAACATTCATCAGTATCAGTATCATTGTCACTGCTGTCAGTAGTATTGTTATTGATGGTGGTTGTATGAATAGCTTGTTTTTTATTATTACCATTGGTGGATATGTGACTTTTAGTGAAACCTTCATCACTAGATACTATATGATGATTATTTGCTTTATCATTGTTATAATTTTTACTATTGCTGACAATATTATTATTCTTTGTGGCTACATGGACATGATTCTTATTATTATTATTCTTGGTGAAATCTTCATCAGTATCACTATCATTATCATAAGTATCATCAGTATCAGTATCATTGTCACTGCTGTCAATAATATTGTTATTGGTGGTTGTATGAATAGCTTGTTTTTTATCATTACCATTAGTGGAGATGGAACTTTCGGTGAAACTTTCATAATCATCATCATTATTATAATTTTCACTATTGCTGACAATATTATTATTATTCCTGGTGGTTACATGGGAATAGATATTATTACTATTATTGATGGTGGTTACGCAGCCATGATTCTTATTATTATTGATGGTGGTAGTTGTTACACGGACTGGGACTTTTTGATTTCTATTATTGGTAGGATTGTCTTCAATTATAAAAAATTAATGTTATATAATTTTCAAATATATTCCATAAATATTTAAAATCATTTTATTATTATCTTACTTTCATCATTACTATAATCATTATCATAATCATTATGATTACTACTACTGATAATAATATTATTATCATGATTATTACCACGGTTAATAATCATTTTTTTTTTGATCTTTTTCTTGATGTAGTCCTCTTTTATTTGTACAAAAAAATAATGAATAATTATAAAGTTTTAAACAAAATTACAATTAATAATCTTCTTACTATGGTTCTGAATATTTTTTTTGATCAACAATTTCAGGAGCCAATCTCCATCACCACAATATGTGTCAGGATTTTTTTCATAAAACTATAGATTAAAAAGAAAATTGTATTATACACTGAATTGTGGGTGATATTAAAAAAATAATATATATTATATTATTACCCTTTTAATTATTTTTGAAATGAAAATATTACGATCTTGCTCTCCTACTAATGTTACTAATGTTGATTTTTTCATATTTATTAAGAATCGAATTTGCTCCTATATTAGGGAGTAAACTTGAATTAAATAATACTCAAATAGTATTGCATTTATATATTTATATTATTTATTACTTGATAACTTTTATATTGTCCTTTTGTGATGTTGAAGATTCTACACACATCTGCAACTAACAACCTTCTGGATTTTTTTGGCTTATAAATAGGCAATTGGTTTTGTTTCTTATAATTATGATATAAAGTAAAGATAAAAATTAGTAAAAAGCAAAAAAAAACTTTACAAGTTATCAATGTATAAACTCACAATTATTGACAATTCTTTTTCGCGTTCCTCTAACAACCTTGTAAGGCGTTGATTGATTGAACTAAGTTTTACTGTAGACATTTTATTTTATTTTATTAAATGAATTTTGTTATGACAACGAAATTTGGGAATTTTAATCAACAGATGATCAACCAGTTAGAAATCATTCATTGTTTTTAAAAATAAATTTTAAAAAACAACAACGCGAAGTAATATTTAAAATCGTTACAAGATAATGTAAATAATAATAATTAATGATAATAATAATTAATAATAATTAACAATAACAACTAATAACAATAATAACTAATAGTAATAATAGTAATTGATCAATCATTCAACCATCAACATAGAAATCATTCATTGTTTTTAAAAATAAATTTTAAAAAACAACAACGTGAAGTATATATTTATAATATTTAAATCGTTGCAAGGTAATGTAAATAATAATAGTTAATGATAATAATAATTAATAATAATTAACAATAACAACTAATAACAATAATAACTGATAATAATAATAGTAATTGATCAATCATTTAATATAAATCAACATTAGTAACACTATAGTAGGAAAGCAAGATTATAATATTTTCATTTCAAAAATAATTAAAAAGGTAATGATACAATATATATTATTTTTTCATTATTTTTAAAAAGAAATTTTAAAAAACAACAACATGAAGTATATATTTGTAATATTTAAAATCATTGCAAGGTAATGTAAATAATAATAATTAATGATAATAATAATTAATAATAATTAACAATAACAACAACAATAATAACTAATAAAAATAATAACTAATCATAATAATAGTAATTGATCATTTAATATTCAACCATCAACATAGAAATCATTCATTATTTTTAAAAAGAAAATTTAAAAACAACAACACAAGGTATATATTCATAATATTTAAAATCATTACAATAATAATTAATAATAATTAACAATAACAACAACAATAATAACTAATAAAAATAATAACTAATAATAATAATAGTAATTGATCATTTAATATTCAACCATCAACATAGAAATCATTCATTATTTTTAAAAAGAAACTTTAAAAAACAACAACGCAAGATATATATTCATAATATTTAAAATTGTTACAAGGTAATGTAAATAATAATAATTAATAATAATTAACAATAACAACAACAATAATAACTAATAAAAATAATAACTAATAATAATAATAGTA